GCAATAATACTGGTGATGAGGATAATGGTTGTAATGATAGTTGCCATAAAAACTTAAACTCAGAGCAAAAGAATAAGAAATGAAACAAATACTGTATTTCCTCTCCGAATCACTCAGGCTTCATCAGGGTTGTGAGGCGACAGGTTGGGTAACAGAAAAGTTACGAATCCCCGAGAGAGGATTGAAAAAATAACGTCAAACTAACCATAGAGTCACAATTACGAGGCCATTGCTATTAAACAAAGGAAGCCCTTCCTGAATAGGGATGAAGGACTGGATCTACTATAAATTTACAATCCTAGGTCATCCCTTTTTGGGGATTCGTAACTTTTCTGTTACATAACCTGTCACGTCACCACGCTCACCATGTCAGTGATTCGGACGAACTATTAGTTTCCGTTCTAATTTTTCCCTCTGGTTTTTGAAGTTTTCTCTACTAGATGTTGACGTTGATGATAAGCAACGATGATTTACTGAACCTAAAAGAAAAAGTGATATTACTGACTAGGAAATTCACTGAGTTTCATGTCCGTTTACAAACCCACCTTGAAGCCCGCATAGCACTTGCAAACATTGGGGCCTACGCATTCTCCACTTCCTGAACAGCCATGCAAGTCCTCGCAGTGAAACTTAGAGCAATCCTCCCCAGTCCAACCGCGATAACAAAAACACACGGAACCAACGCAGTCACCATTGTGAAAACAACCATTTGGGCAGCTCATTACTGGAATAGATATAAAAAGAGAAATGTAAAATTTTTAATTTTTAATTTTTTACGCTACTTCCTCATTTCCCATAATGCTCCTTATTTGCTCAACAAAATGTTGCGTAAGTATTGTTTTCATTTTCTCTTTGGACGGCTTTAATACCCAGGAGAAATGTAAAACAAAGATTATGCAAAAATTTGGGGAGCAAATAAGGTGCATTATGGAAAATGTTAAAGTGTCGTATTGATATTCGTAGGTTTGGACACCAATTGTCGTAGTACTAAATTCCCTTATAAAGGTTTTGTTTCTAAAAACTAAGGTTCATTAAGCAATAGAGACAAACCACTACGACAATCCGTTCATAAGGTATTCAGCGACGCAAAGTATTAGAAATTATAAGAAGCTGTAGTAACAATTAAGCCCAAATTTTGTAGATTAGTATCTACAATCGGCGACAAAATGAGTTGAGGCACTTCGCCCAAAAGTGGGTTTTTTTACGTTTTATGAACTTCAAAAGGGGGAAATATAGCTTTCCTCCCCCATCCCCTTCGTGCAATGTTGTGCCCTTGTTCTAGCTACCTACAGAAAATAACAAACACCCCAACTTTGAATGGAGGGGACAGGGGAGGGGTGCGGATTCTTTTGTTCTCCGAAGTCATCCTATTTAAGAACAGTGTCTCAACAATTTTGTCGCCGATTGTCGCCTATTTCGTCCCAGGTTCCTCGCTATTTCCCTCCGTGATTTCTAGAGTGTTGAAACTTCAGATGGTCACATCTTTGTGGCTTTATCTTTTTTTTTATCTTATTGGAAATTTTCCCAAAAGGGGCTAGACAAAATTGATCAAAATGAACAAAAATGGCTCGATTGCCTGTAAATCATGTGCCAGTTACACAATGTTGAAAGATAAATTTTCGTGTGAAATGACAGTCGTCTCTAGACAAATTTAGAAATAAATTAAAGCATTTGAATAACTGTTAAAGACTGTGAAAAAACTGACTGGGGACTGTTAAAGTTTTTCAATTCCAGTAAGAACAATTTTCGTCCCAGTGACCCCTGTCAAAAACTGAAGAGCAATCTAGCAGATATTAAACCTACTCGTCAAGTATTGAGTATATAGCACGACACGATACGTTTCTAAAAAAGCTTTGATAACTAAAAGACTATACCTACATTCATTGTTTGTCAATAATACCTGGTCGTCTTGTACAAACAAATGGATGACGTCTATCACAGTCAGATTCTTCAATTCTTCCAGTGTTATTTACTGCAAAGCATCTGTCACTATTGACCTGTAAATATATTTAGAAAGTATTATTAGCCTGCCTTCACTGGTTGGAGGCAGTGCTTTTGCAGTCTAGTAATTAACAAAATAACGCCAGATTTATTTTTATTTTTATTTGTATCATCTGCCCTCTTATTGATGATAGAATTGCATCGCAACATTGTCAAAGTGTTGTGGAAAAAAGAGTCCGCCATTTGAATTTTGCGACCATTTTTATTGCTGAGCCTAAAATTCTCAGTTAACTTTGATGTCATCAATTTCAATGTTAAGTAAACTGTTTATTAATGGAAAGGAAAACAACCTCGTAATATACAGCGATACATATTAAAAAATCCCTTTACTCGTGTTAAAAAGTACCATATGTCATTTAAACAAACACAAACATGGACGTGTTTAGTAGATTTTAGAGAATTGACAGACTTACCGAATATGCCTTCGTAGTCCACAATGCAGGCATTTGTTTTTCCCAAGTAATCAAAGACTCCTTCTCTCTCAGACGCTGCACTAGTT